TGGCACAGGACAGAGCGGAGTTTAGGGCTGTTGTACATAGGGTCACTATGAGTCGCAAGTGACTGGAGGGCACATAACAACAACAATAATACCCAACTTTGCTAAACTATTAAATTGAGCCAGTAGTAAGTGGATGCATTTTCTCTTGAGTTTTCTAACTGCAAAACCCGGAAGCTCAAACTCATTACATCAGGTGGGAACCGACTCATAGCTGACCCTCCATTGGGTTTCCGAGGCTATAAAGTGTATGAGAGTACATTGCCCATCTTTATCCCAAAAAACTGTTGGTGAATTCAGACTTCCAGAGAGTCTCAGTCTCTGCGTTAGCAGCCTGGCTCCCTACAGACCACTCCTCCAGAGCTCCATCTAGAAGATCATGGTATTTGCACATTGTTATTATTAAGTGCCTTTGAGTCACTGTAACTTAAAGTGACCCTATGAACAATGGTTCTGAACTTTACCCTCTCCTGTCCATCATCCCCTTCTCAAATATACGTGAGGACATTGTTACAATCACTGTGTCAATCCGGCTTATCAAAAGCCTTCCTCTCTCCTACAACCAGGAGAATATAAAATAGATGAACGGGACCTTCTAAGAATCAAATCCCTATGCACATCCAAAAACTTCTCCAGCAGGGCAAAAAGGGAAGCCACAGACTGGGAAAAGGTATTTGGTGAAGATACATCAGATAAGGGATTTATATCCAGAATTTACAGAATACTTGAGCACCACAAGATGAAGGTAAATAATCCAATTGAAAAATGGCACAGGATATGAACAGACACTTCACCAAAGAAGACATTTAGATTGCCAACAAACACATGAAGAAATGTTCAAAATCCCTAGCCCTAAGAGAGATGCAAATCAAAACAACTATGAGATACCATGCACTCCAGTTAGAATAGCAAAATTTAACAGAGCAGCAAGCAACAAATGCTGGCGAGGTGGTGGAGAAACTGGAACCCTTATTCACTGTTGGTGGAAGTGTAAAATGGTGCAACCACTGTGGAAGGCAGTGTGGCGCTTTCTCAAAAAGTTGCAAATAGAGAAACCATTTGACCCAGCAATTCCACTACTGGGAATATACTCCAAAGAGACCATAACTGACATCCAAGCAGATATATGTACACCCATGTTTATTGCGGATTTGTTCACAATAGCAAGGAGTTGGAAACAATCTAAGTGCCCATCAGCCAACGAATGGATAGAGAAGCTGTGGTATATTCACACAATGGTATACTACACTGCATTAAAAAACAAGGAACTCATGCAATATTATTCAAAATGGGTGACCCAGGAGGACGTTGTTGTTGTTATGTGCTATCGAGTCGCTTGCGACTTATAGCGACCCTATGTACAACAGCCCTAAACTCTGCTCTGTCCTGTGCCAATCGCACTGTCTCTGAAA